AAAAAAGCTAATTGAAAAACCGAATTGCTGATTTTTTTAATGGGTGAGTTTTGTAATTGTTTACTTATTTTATTGGTATGAAGGTTGCTATTGAAATAGGGTTTAAACCCGTGCGTATCCAAGGAGACTTCAAGCTCTTCTGTATTATAAAGGTCATGTAACTTTGACATGCAAATGTGCCTTTCTCTCCTCCTTTAATTGTCACAATCACTTATTTGTACTTGAGAATGTGTTTTGCTATGAACACCCAAAAATGGGGAGCTGGACGCCATTGTTGTTTCTTCAGAGAGAAAGGAAGACTTAATGGTGCCACATTGGACTTAGAAATCTTGGATGTGCCCATCACCATATGTAAGTGGATTGAGAGATGCCATGTGGATAGATATTTCTCTCTTGCATTCTCCGCAAGGATTTGAAAAATGAAAAAGATAGTACATTTTTCTTTTACCTAATAAATGTACCATATATAATATAATATATGTGTATATATATACATGTATAATAAAAAATTAAGATAAATTATATATGTTTATATGTATATATGTTTGTATGTATGCATGCGTGCATATCTATATACATAGATTAATTTAGCATGGCTAGAATATTATATATATATGTATAATATTTGTATGTATGTTTATAATTTTTACTATGTACATGAGTTTATATTTGTGTATCTATGTATTTTTTATATTTATTTTTAATTTTTGTATATATATGTACATACATATATATATATGTGTGTATTTATGTGTATATGTATTTGTGTGTATATATGTATATACATATATTCATATGTATTTGTGTATATGTGTATGTCTATGTATATATATATGAACATATTTTTATGGGTGTATATATATATGTTTATATGGATTTATATGTAGATATATGCATAGAATATTACTAATTAAAAATGAATAGTTTTAATTTTATATTCTCATTTAAAAAAAATTATATTCTATATTTTCATCTTTATAAAAATCATCTATAATATCTAATCCCTAAATCAATGAAAATAATGATTTTAAAATCCAAAAAATATTAAATCAAAGTAAATTATTTTGATAAAAAAATAAAATATTATGTTATAATATACAAAATTAATATTAATTTTAAAAAAAAAGTAAAAAGGAAAACTAAATATATGTATATATATGTATGCATGTATATATTTATATACATGTATATGTATGTATAAATGTATTTAACGATGTATTTGTATATATATATATATATATATGTATATGTGTATTTATGTATATATGTATATTTATGAATATATATGTTTATATATGAATATATATATATATATATATAAGGGGACGAGAAATGAACAACGTGATAGGTTGGTAGAATATTATATATGTATATATGTATACTAATTACATGGATTTAGAGGCTTTTGGTGAAGTCACATAAGAATCCTACATGATATTTTGTTTAATTCTGATTGGTTATGAAAAAAATTATGGTAGAATTAAATGAGAAATTTACAAAATATGAAAATGATTAATGCAAAATAAAATTATATAAATTAAATAAAAAATTTTAAAAATAGAGAAATGATAAATCCAAAATAAGATTATAAGAAAAATTAATAAAATATATAAATATATATGATTAGAATATTTAGTTTGTATTTTTTTATTGAACATAACAACTAAATGGTCATATTTGTTATAATTTTAAGTTTATATTTATTATATAAAAAAAATTATTCTAATCTTTAGTAGAAAAAAATATTAATAGATTATTATAATTAAAAAAAAAGTTTATCTATATAGTAGAGAAAAGAAAACAGTCTTGGACTATGAAAAACTTCAAAATCATAATTTAATTTATTGTATTAATAATGTTTAGTGAGTAATTATTAAAATAAATTAAAAGAAAAGATGTGTAAGACTCTATAATATATTTTCTACTAATAACCATATCTATTGTTCTTTTCACATTAATATTAACTTGCAAGAGTCTACTGTATTTTCCAAGAATATAAAGCAGAAACATCGGCTGATGAAAAATCAATATGCTGCAGAACCCACCATAATATATGGTAATATATATTTTCTATCTTTCTATTTTTATTTCTTTATTCCGTTTTTTGATGTTTCCTCTCAAGATTTATGTTTTCTTTAACAAATTGTATATGTAAATTTGGCAACACTTCTTCTAACCAGAAAATACAATAGACATTCGAGAAACTTCAAATGGAGTGGATGGTGAGATTCTTCGAAAATATTTCATGCTTAGATGATATAGATTCGAGGTTATCAATGTCTTCCACCGAAAAAGGAATGAAGAATTGGTGTTTCGGTTTTGACTTCACAGCTCGAGGAAAGAAGAACACGTCCAAAACGTTCAGGAAGGATTACAAATATACGGATGGAGAAGATATCGGATACCGGGGACACATCATACATTCTCGATCGTGGTCCAGTGACATGTTATTGAATCTATTAAATAATTAAAAGTGTTATAACGAATGTAAATTTGCAGTAAATTTTAGAAAGTTTATATATTTTTATAGGAATTTCAAAGTTCGTGCGTAATCTCATACGTACAAGACGACCTAGGATATACCTCTACATCTAGATACTTGTTTTTTATCACAAGATTTGTTGTCCTCATTACCGATCTGAAATTGCAGAGTTGGATCGCTGGAATTACACGAAAAAAATCATATCATCATTACCATGTGAAACAAATTCTAATTAATTATATATATATATATATATATATATATATATAATCCAGGTCGTGGTATATAAATGTGCATATATACATATGTATGTATTTTATATTTTATATATTCTTATTATGTATTAATATATTTATATGTGTTATATTTTTATTTTTTAAAATTTAAACTAATCATTAAGTTATAAATATGTAATTTTAACTATTTTTAGATAAAACGCTAACTACAATATTTAGTAATATTATTTTTAATATTACCTTAGAATTAATTTTTTTAAATAAATCATTATTATCGATCTCATACACAATTTATACAATGATATTAATATTTTATATTTTTTTTTATTTTTAATATATTATTTTATAATAATTTAATCTTACAACATTTTTGTTTTATTATTTTTTTGTCAAATCGAACATATTTAATTGATAGAGAAATTGCAGTTTTATCAACTATGGGAGAAAGAAAAACATCTAAAACTATTTGCCTATTTGAATGAAAAAAAATATTGTACAATGTACGATGCAATTATAGATTCTACCGTATAAAACATATGTTGAACGAGAAAAACATTTTTAAAAAGAACAATAATTTCAAAGTCACGATAGTGAAAACGATTGTATTTCCTATGATATCATCATAAAAAGGATCGCCTTTCTGTGATATCATCGCGCATTGCAACATTGATTTAATTTAATGGTAGAATAACTCACTTAAGATTCAAAATCCCATTAAACGTCTATAACACTTCGACATGAAATATAAAACAATGCACTACGTTGGCAGAATTGTGATCTAAAATAGAACTGATAATCTGGTATGAAATATGGATGATACATTTTTTCCCCAAAACTTTATTTCTTTAATATGACAATATAACAATATAATGTGTAATGATGATTGTATAATAATTTAATTTAATTAATATATTTTTCATATATTAAATAAATAATTTATATCAATTTTTAACAATATTCATATTAATAAATTTTATAAAAAATAATTAATATATATTTTAAAAATATAACCCGTGTATCGCGTATGTCTCTTCTAATTTTGATAAAAAAAATGGTTAACTTAAAGGTCTCTGTTAAATTTTTTCTTAGGCCTCCCATTCTTTTTTCCTTTTTTAATTTATTGTTTTTCTAAATATTAGGTTTTAAAATGTCCCTTTTTAGTCTTATTTACTATATATTTTTTATTTTTCTCTTTCAATTCTCTAAAAAAATCAAATCTAATATTTTTTTATTTATTCATCAATTGAGCGGTTTATTGTATGTTACTTTCTACAAATTTAATGTTTTTAAAATAAGATATCCTCTTTGATTTTAGATACCATTTTCATTCTATTGTTTTTTGTAAGTATATTTATTTTCAAAAAGATTATGTCTATTCGATTTAGTGTGTTGAAATTTAGTTTGGTTTGTTTTTGTTATATTTAATTCAAAATTATTTGTATTAAGATAAATATATATTTAAAAATATTATTTTCGTTCGATTTTTTCAATAACTTTTATATTTCAATCAAATTCAATTTTTAAAATTTATATCTATTTGATTTTCCTAAATTAGATTTAGTTTGAGTATAATCATATCTTATTTTTTTGTTAATCATATCTAATAGATGTGTTAACGATCCCTAGCGATAAGATCGGCACCATGTAGCCGCCTATACTAAATTCCATGAGAATCGATTTTGGTGCCAATGTTTTATCAATTTAACAAGAAATAATAAGTTCTAAAAAAAAAGAACATATTAAATGGTTTTGAAAAAAAAAAAATAGAAACAAGGTCATATTAAGGGTCGTACATCAAATGAAAAATTAAAAATTTGGGATAGGAAGAATATTAAATGCAAGTTAATGATGATATTATTCAAAATTCTAGACAATTAGCGTATAAATTCTGGATATTTTGTTAACTTCTTTTTGGAATTTTGGGTTTTGTTAAAAATAAGTTTACTTAAAATTGTAATGTATGGTTTGCAATAACTAATATTATGTTTTATCATATTCAAATTAATTTCATTTTAGAACAACAAAACCCTAATTATATAAAAGTAATTCAACATTTGTGATGTTTTCTTCTTTACAAATTATTTTTTTAGTTATTTAAAGAGGTGATTTGACAAAAACACAATCTTAGAAAATAATATCGAAAGATATTTAAAAAGCACAATCTTAAGAACAAAATTTTATTTCACATTCATATAGAAATAGAAAGTAATATAAAAAATAAAAATAAAAAGCATAGAAATTAATTTCCTCACGTTTCTTTTATTTCGTCTTCTTCCTCGTCTTCGTCGTCGTCACTTCACTGCCATGCCATCAGATGTGACAAAAAAAGGGATTCCATCGGTTGTGACGAAAATGTTTAAAAATTGAAAAAAAAAAACTGATTCTCATCGGTTTTGCTGAATTAGAAAGTTCGGTCAATGTTTCTCACTGGAAACCGCGCTTGATTCGACCGATTGCATCTTTCTAAGCGCCATCTTTCTCGATTGGCCTCCTCTCCAAAATTCGTGAGAAAAGACTTCAGATTTAAGTTATATAAGTTCTGGGTTTTGATCATTCGTCCGATTCAGGTAGATTTGGGCTTATCACAGACAATCTCAGCTAGTTCTCCAACAGATGCAGGAGGAGAGATTCTCGGGTTTTCCCGGAACATATGAAGAGTGGCTAAGTTTCCCGAGAAAACAAACTGAAATTTCCGTAAGAAAAGAAACAGAAAAGCCTTACAGAATGCCTCTAATTCGGAGGAGAAAGACATCGACCTCCAGGGAAGAGACCGAATCGAAGGATGTCGTGGTCGTGGAGGATGTTTCCCAGAAAAAGCCACGCGAACATTCGAAACCCCAGAAACGATCAGATTCAGGGAGAGACAAGGTGAAGTGGTCATGTGTCGATTCGTGTTGTTGGTTCATCGGACGTGTCTGTGTAACATGGTGGTTCCTCCTGTTCCTATACAACGCAATGCCTGCGAGCTTTCCTCAGTATGTAACAGAGGCAATCACTGGTCCATTGCCTGACCAACCTGGTGTGAAGCTTAGGAAAGAAGGTTTAATGGCGAAACACCCAGTTGTGTTTGTCCCCGGCATTGTCACTGGAGGACTTGAGCTTTGGGAAGGCAAACAATGTGCAGATGGGTTGTTTAGGAAACGTTTGTGGGGTGGAACTTTTGGTGAGCTTTACAAAAGGTGAGTTCTTTTTTTGTGATTTTGTCCGGATTCTGATGAAATCATGTGGATTCCTGTTATTGAACAAGACTTGCAACTTTACTATGTGCTTGTTTTTTAATGGAGTTTTTGTTGTTTGTGGTTCCTTACATGTGAATTCTTTTGGAATGTGAAAGGGTCATTCCAACGTTTGGTGAATGAGTTGAGGCATATGCTTATGTGCTTGTGGGTTGATTGCTATGCAAGTTGTTTCTCCATAGTTGCTATCTTTGGTCTGAAGCAAAACTTGGACCTGTTTGATGATTTGGGTATAGCTGCTGCGTCGATTTTCAAATCAAATTATTCTCGAAAGAGTGGTAATTAACATTGTAGAATGTTAGGGTGTGTTGATTGAAAGATGTCGTCTTGGTTACTTTCAGATTATGAGTATGAAAGAATGCTGATAAATCATCACTCTGTTAGTGGTAGAAGGGATGGATTCTTCTACTGTTTCTTCCAGTTTTTCTCTTTTTTTTCCTGAGATCTGTTGATGAGATTGATATTCGTGGGTTTTTCACAATAGGGTTTAATTAAATGCTTTTAGTTCATGATCTTTTTGTAAGATCTGTAATGGAAATGTAATTAATTGCTTAGGAGCTGCTTTAGCATCTGTTGTAGGGATAGAGCAGTTTCATGCACTTGCATCTATTTTCATTTGTCAGTATCTCAACAAGTTCCTTAAGTCTTTGATGTTTGATTGTCTGAAAATCCAGGCCTCTGTGCTGGGTGGAACATATGTCTTTGGACAACGAAACCGGCTTAGATCCTTCTGGTATTAGAGTCAGGCCCGTCTCAGGGCTCGTGGCTGCCGATTACTTTGCTCCGGGCTACTTTGTCTGGGCAGTGCTGATCGCTAACTTGGCACATATTGGATACGAAGAGAAGAACTTGTACATGGCTGCATATGACTGGAGACTTTCGTTTCAAAACACCGAGGTTTCTTTCCATGTTTCTAATCCCATTTCGTGTTTTACTTTTATCAAAACCCGATATGAAGATGTTTGCGTTAAATTCACTAGGTGCGTGACCAAACCCTCAGCCGTATCAAAAGTAATATAGAGTCGTTGGTTGCTACTAACGGTGGGCGAAAGGTGGTTATAGTTCCACATTCCATGGGGGCGTTGTATTTTCTGCATTTCATGAAATGGGTCGAAGCTCCAGTCCCTATGGGCGGTGGGGGCGGGCTGGATTGGTGTGCAAAGCATATAAAAGCCGTGATGAACATCGGTGGACCGTTTCTTGGTGTTCCAAAAGCTGTAACGGGTCTTTTCTCGGCTGAAGCAAAGGATATTGCATTTGCCAGGTAACTGAATTAGATGATTTTGGTTTTGATAAACTTAATCCTGAAACTTTGAGAAGTTATCTTTGCGTAATCTGATCGGATATGCTACTTAATTTTCGATTTCAATCACGGTGAAATAGTAGCATCTCTAGTGACAAAAACATAGATGATTGTTTCTGGTAATGACTTGGACCATTGGTGAATATGGTAATACGAGAGAGATTACGATATTTTGTCAATCTCTTCTCTGAAAAAGACGAGATATCGCCTTCTCGAGTGACCTTATTCATTTCGAAATCCTTCAAACTTAAAAGCTATTTTCTTTTACAAAACGTTTACCTGTCTGCGATATTCTCGTATTTTGTCGTGATTTCTAAAAAATGTTTTTGGTTCGATTACAGTATTTGTCGACATGTTCTCTGAATAAGACTTGTATATATCATCCTGTAACGCAGGGCCCTTGCACCGGGTTTCTTAGATAGCGATATATTTCGGTTTCAGACGTTACAGCATTTGATGAGAATGACAAGAACATGGGACTCAACTATGTCAATGATACCAAAGGGAGGCGAAACCATATGGGGCGGTATTGATTGGGCACCGGAAAACTGTTATAGTTTCCATGGGAAAAAGCCGAAGCGCAATGAGACTCGTGCCTCGGATGGTAACGTCCGCAAGGGTTATGTTTCCAAGACGAAACACGATAATCTCGGAAGGATTATATCGTTCGGAAAAGTAGTGACCGAGGCGCCATTATCCAAGATTCAGAGGCTGGATTTCAGAGTAAGCTCTTAATTTTGTTCATACGAACTATATTTGTTTTAGTTGTTGTGGTTTGTATGCCATTCCATTGAAATGGTTTTAAGAGCATTTACTCTTGTCATCGGTTTGGGCAAACGCTTGGAACGTTCAGTCCGAACGCCTGTCATTAAACAAGTTGGACTGTGTTCTATGTTCGGTCTGAACGTTGGCTAGAAAAACTCGTCCCACATCAGAAATTTTCGACTTTTCAGCCTCTTTTTCAACTGAGGCTTGAGGGTTGACACCCCCACACAACTCCAGACTCGAATACACATCCAAAACTAGTCTTCGAGGGTCTAGATTGTTATAAAACTCCGGGCTCTAGCAAGCCTAAAAGATCCAATTATTGGATCCAACCCATGGTGTGGATACCGCAGAGGACGTTGCCATCTGTGACGTCTCTCACTGGTAATTACTACCATTGCTGTTTGGCCTGACTTTTTCTTCTTTGAAGGTTTGTAACTCTTTCGAGATCTTTTATATTCGTTTATTGACTATTACATATATGCATAATGATGCTTAGTGGTTATTCTTGTTCTAGGCTTTGATGTAAATTGTGAATATATTTTCCGCTGCGATCAGATCCTATAATTTAGTTAGTGCTAGGACTAACAGTGCTATTCGACTGCAGGGTGCGGTGAAAGGACAGAGCATTCCGAACATTACATGTCGAGATTTGTGGACCGAGTATCATGAAATGGGAATTGGAGGGATCAAAGCCGTTGCCGAGCACAAGCTCTATACTGCTGATACGCTTATTGATTTACTTAATTTCGTTGCCCCGAAAACGCTGGCTCGTGGTACAGCTCACTTCTCTTACGGCATCGCTGATGATTTGGATGACCCGAAATACAGACATTACAAGTACTGGTCGAACCCGTTGGAGACAAAGTAAGTTCTCTTTAGTTTGTATCAGTTCCTTGTCTGCTCGACCTTTGTTTTCCGCCTTTTTGGATATGGTTTTGAATCTTTTCTCGGAAAGGTACGTGACCATTTTCTCCTATAATCTTTACCTTTGTGCTTAAGATTCTTTTTGAGATTGTACTTGAGATCTTATATGGCATAAACTGCATTTTTCTTTACAAGAATCTTATCCAAGCTTTCATCTTGGACTGTAATTCCGATTTTCATAACATAATGCTTTCACTCGTTTTCACGGGTTCATTCCGCGTTTGAACGTGTCTAAACTTGCGCTTTTCTTCCGTTGTTTCAGATTACCCGATGCCCCCGAGATGGAGATCTTCTCCTTGTACGGGGTCGGGATACCGACGGAAAGAGCATACGTCTACAAGGTTAACCAGTCTCCCGACAACTGCATCCCTTTCCAGATCGATACGTCTGCGCACGAAGACGAGGGAGAAAGCTGTCTGAAAGCGGGAGTTTACAACGTCGACGGGGACGAAACAGTTCCCGCCCTAAGCTCGGGTTTCATGTCAGCAAAGGCGTGGCGGGGCAAGACGAGGTTTAACCCTTCCGGGATGAAGAATTTCGTGCGGGAGTACAGCCACTCTCCGCCGGCTAATCTCCTCGAGGGCCGGGGAACTCAGAGCGGGGCCCACGTAGATATAATGGGGAACTTTGCTCTGATCGAAGATATCATGAGGGTGGCGGCTGGAGCCAGCGGTTTGGACATCGGAGACGACCAGGTCCACTCTGATATCTTCCAGTGGTCGGAACGTATCCATCTTAAGCTGTGAATAACGATTGATGGGTTCATTACAGAGAGAATTAAGATTATGGTGATGGTTTTTTGGGGCGTTTCATATATTATATGATTCTTGATGTAATTTATATAAACTTTAAATTTGGCGATAATTTCAAGCGAGCTTCAAAGCTTTTAGTGCATTCCTCTTGTTTTTATTTATTAATCTAATATTATCTTATATATCGGTGTTATTTTATTTTTAGATATTTATATAAAATAATTAGTTTTGTGTACGAATATATGGCATATTGTATTAGTAACGCTTAACCATAATATATCAACTATCAACTGAATCAATTTTTTTTATTTCTCTACTGAGATCATTCTATCTCTGACTAATAGTCTAAGATTTTGATGATTTGGTGACATTGATATGATTCCATGCATAGTTATGATTCTGGACTAATAGTCTAAGATTTTGATTATTTCTTACATTCGATTTAGTAAAAGACTAACACCGACCAGAGACATTATATCGTACGGTATAAATTCACGAAGTAGGATATGAAGCGCAGGCAACATACTATATTTAGACAGTACACTCACAGTAACTACATGAACACAAATCTTTCAAAGACATCAATTTCTTGGCTCTGCCATCTCCTGTAAAGTACGTTTCATTTCACCCAAATCTCTCCACGAAATGGGTGATGATATATATACCGAATCGCTCCTTATGTGTGTGATCGATGCGTAAAAGAGGGACAAGAATCGCGAAGAAGGGCAGAATGATGCAACAAAAATACTTTACCTCGCCTTTTTCCGTGAGTTTAGGGGTTCTTGCAGACGGGGAATGCCCTCCATGAGTTCATCCTCCACCCGAAAACACAAACGATTTACCTCGCCTTTTTCGCGAGTTTAGGGTTCTTGCACATGCGGATACTGACGGGAGTGACCTCAACGAGTTCATCCTCTTCTATATACTCGATGCAATCGTCCAAACTATATTCCAACGGGGTATCCAGAACAACTGAAATAGAGCAACGGAAGCATTGATGACGATGACGATATTATGGATTTGAATTCTATGCAACATTATCTTTTTATTATTACCTGTTTGGTCTTTGTTGGATCGTATATTAGTTGCAGCCTTTTTCTTGCATACGTTCAGGGCCAAGTCTCCGGGTCGCTGATGGATCCCGACTATCTGACCCTTGTAAACATCGACCCCGGGACCGATAAACATCTGCCCTCTCTCTTGTGCACTCGCTAGCGCATAGGATGTCGACGTTCCGTCCTCAAATGCTACCTGAAATCCGTTTTTAATTTCCCGTTATTTGTGTTTATACCGAAAATCATAACTACCTATATATACCACCGAATTTATCATATATCATCCAACATGTTCGATCCGTTCCAAGTTCCAACTGAAAAGAGTAAAACAAGAACCACTTGTTTTAAAACTGAAAATCGAGAGCGGTTATGTAACCTTTCCCACAAATTTGTTTCCCAAACTGTTCCTCATCGCTAAGATAACTTGTTTATTGATATGATGATACTGACCATTTGATACGGTTTTTTCAAACAAGATACTAAAGCCTCTAACTCCTAGAAACAATTTCAGCTCCATAACTTACCAGTGAACCTTGATCGCGGGTGCTGATTTCGCCGGCCCACGGTCCGTAACTATCGAAGATTGTGTTCAAGACAGCTGTGCCACGAGAAGCTGTTAAAATTGCATTTCGTAAACCAAGAAGTCCACGAGTCGGGATCCTGTACCGAAGCAGAGTTGTTCCCTCCGACCTGGTAAACACGATTCAAATGATTTATTACATTAATCTTAGATGATGGAAACTGAAGGATTTACCATGCAGGTCAATTGAGAGATAAAAGGGGACAGCCGTGAGGAAAGACCACACTCTTGCAATTTCATTCTCATACAAACGCGGAAAATCAGGAGAAAAAGAATTTTATAGCGGCCATTTGTGGCACTATATTGCGTTCCACCAAAAACGCATAATTCCATTATCAGCCATTGATGCTCGATCAATCCGAAGCATGTTCTTGTAATGGTTTTAATCATCTAGATTTAAAAAAGTGGTGCATTTTTCAAAGACTTTTGGTTAATGACCAAATGGGTTATATCTCTAATCTCATTTGGCAGATTGCTAACATGGCAATCACATTCTTAGACCTAAACATGGCCTTAACGCAAAAAACGATCATCAAGAGTAATACATGGTAACCAATGTGACATACCCGACACCCTGCATATCAAACATCTGCCCCCGTCGTTTGCCTAGAAGTTCAACAACAGGTCCCATGTGTTCTTCTGGCACTTCAACAGTTGCAATCTGCCAATTGATGGATTAAAGCCAGATAAATCGTCTTCACTTATTCAAGTACTTGCTCATGAGATCATTGATTTTTTTTATTTCCAGTGGGAAACACAGGGCACAACAAGAAATTTAAATCAATGGTTTAACAATTGAATTTATGATTTCACAACTCGCTGTTCATCCTTCTGGTAGGGAAAAAGAATGCAATACTGATAGACAGAGGACCACAGCACCTCACACAGAAAAATCTTCCGCGAAAGTAATGACATCAATCAGAAGCTCACCTCATATGGCTCCAGTAATTTATCATTCACCTTCTTATTGATAACTTTTGGAGGACCAACCATAAACTCATATCCCTCTCTTCGCCTGAAACAGATAACTGTTCAGTGCCTTTCGTATTGAAATAGGAATAATGACCGATGAACATTTTTACTTACATGTTTTCTATTAGGATGGTAATGTGTAGTGTACCACGTCCACTAATAATGAACGTATCTGCTGTCTCACCATCGTCCACTTTCATGGCTAGATTTCTTTCAAGTTCACGGTTTAAGCGGTCTCGTAAATTCCTGCT